TCCATCCATCCATCCATCCATCCATCCGTCCATCATCCCATCCGTCCATGCATCCATCCATGCATCCATCCATGCATCCATCCACCATCTGCAAGAGCTCAAAGTACCATAGAAGAGAATATTTGCAGCTCAGGGTTGAACCGTGGGGTCCTTGGTTCTCTCTGCGCTTGGCTGTTTTCTTGCAGACATTCCATTACCTGACCAGGTAACATCATCATTATCTGAGGTTGGGTAATTAAACTGGTGGGACTGAAATGGCCTGTTCCTTTTGTTTTCAACTTGGGAAGGGTTGGGTAACTTTCAAAAAAGCAATGTAGGAGCTGAACGGGGGGGCCTGCCACGTTTATGTAACTTCTCTATTTTTCTAAGACAAAAATTGTTCTAATCTGGCAGTTTGTCACCAGATCTCACATGTGGGGCTGAAAGGGAGGGTTCCGCAAAAAAAAAAAAAAAGAAGAAGAAGAATAAACAGGAGGAAGGCTGGGGCCCATAGCTCAAAGATTGGCTGCCCCTGTGCCAGGTCAACTCAAGGAGCAACAGAGACACCAACCAAGAAAGATGAGCTGAATCTAAATCTTTTTCTCACTCAAGGCAGACTGGCTGGTGGGAGGGGAGGTAGCCCCAGGGATCTGGGTTGGGCAAGCAGCACAAAAACGATCCCTCAAGAGTTGTCTCCTGCATAAACTCCCACCTGTGAATGACAGTGAATAAATCTTCTGTGGTTCGGGTTGTCACAAAAACATCATCATCTTCCTCAGTTATGGACTCAGCTGTTTTGTCGCTTACAAAGTGTTTCTCTCTGCTCCTCAAACCCACAGAATTCCCTATGGAAAAGAAAACGAAAACCTTGGGAAAAAATAGGTCGCTTCCACGAGTGGGATTCAGACAGCAAGTAGGACACAAAAAGAAACAGGGTGTTCCTCAAACAGCGATAGGCAGCATTTGCGTATGACGGAAGGGGAATAAAATAGGGTACAGTACTTTGTTGGGAAGATATTGGTTTGAGTCTTCCCACCATCTTCAAGAAACCCATCCAGTTGACCACAGAAAGGCGAAAACAGCATTCTTTCTCCCTTTGCTGCCATCCAGTGGTTGACTGGATTTTTGCAACTCTAATCTGCAAGACTTGCACCGTAAATATCACATTCGTCCACAATCCCATTAGCGTACATTAGCCGAGTGTCCTGTCCTACACCTTCTGCAGATATTTTGACCAGTGCCTAGAATTCCATAGCACTCAGGAAATTTCTCTTGAGTTTACATCTACTCCTTAACTGAGCTAAGGCCTTCCCTCAACACCCTGACGTAGAAAAGGCAAGAAGGCTTACCTGAAATGTCACCCCATGATAGGTCTGCGGCAGTTGGACTTACATTCACCTCATTGGCAACAGGAGACGGCACTTGGTAGGTGGTCAGTTCTGAGTAGGCAGAATCCTCATCTAGCATGATAACTGGGCTAGGAGGCAACCTCTGATCCCCAGGACAAGGCCCTGGGTGGAGTGGGGAAGTCACCAAAGGCAGGTAAAGTACACTAGGCTTCTTTGGGACAGGAGGTGGGACTTTAGCTTTACGGCTCTCTCCCCCAGGCACCACCTCATCGAGAGCCTTGGCCTTCATCTGCTCATCCTCCTCCAAGCTGCCCTCGGAGAGCCTCCGTGCAGTGGAGAAGAATGTCCCTGTGGGGCCTTGTGTGGGAGAAGCTGCCCCCTCAGCAGAAGGGGATTCTGTGGGGCTCCACGTGCCTGCATCCCACAGGTGGTCTGGCCTCCTGGCCACCATATAAATGTTCTCCGCAGGGACCAACCCTTGGGGTGCGGCTGGAGACGTTGGAGAGCTCACAGGAGACTCCTCCTGGACCGGTGGAGTTTTATGCAACAGCATCGGTGGCCTTCGGGAGAGGGGTGGCTTTTCTGCCACTGGGGGCCGGACCTTCTTGCCCGGTTCCTCGAGTAGCTCTGGACTGTCCAAGTTATCCTCAGTCTCAGATCGGCTGACAGAACGCAAACGGACAGAACGCAGGTCTAGCTGGGTCACCATGGGCATAACCGGCTGCACCGGACTCAGCTTCGGGCCCAACTTGGCTCCAAAGGTAGAATCCGAGTGGTGTCGGCTTACTTTGGCTTTGCTCTTGTGCGAGATCTTCAAGCCCGAGAGGTCCAGGTGTGTTGGTGGGGCAAAGGGCAG